TGGCTTGTGACCTTGGGCAGGTCCCTCTCCTCTGAACCTCCTGGGTACCCCTGGCAGGCAAGGGCTCCTTCCTGCTCACCTCATTGTCACGATCAGAATCCGTGTGAGCTTTGAAGCCCTGGCCGTGCCCAGGGCTACGTGAGAAGCTCAATGGGGTGCAGAGCTGCAGCCCCACAGGAGGGGGGGTGGGAGCTGGGGTCCCTGGCAGGGATGGCGACAGCCTTGGAGCTGGAGGAGGCCCTGGGCCCTGGGAAGACCACCCCTCCCAAGTCAGGGCCAGGGGGTGGCCTTCGCTGACTCTTGCTCTGAGTTCGAGGGCATAGTCTCATGGGCATCAGGCCTGGCTTTGGGGCCCTGGACGCTTCCCGAGGTTGGGGCACCCAGCCGGGCTACAGAGTGTGCCCTTAACCACCCTGTCGAGGCCCCTGATTGGGACCAAGGAGGCCGAGCCTAGGCAGGTGGATCGGGCAGTTCCCACAGCCTCAGTCTAGCCCATGTCCTGGGCCCCTGGCCGCTCAGGTAGGAGGCCTGGAGCAGACAGGAACCAGGCCTTGCACAATACTCCTCAGAGCAGCCTGGTACAGTGGCATCACGGTCCCCATGGTACACAGAGGCCTCCAAGGCTCCGAGGCAAAGCCACATGTCCAAGGCCACCCGGCTCGCCACCCCACCCGTCTGCTCGCCACCCCACCCGTCTGCCGGGCCAGTCCCTGCATAACCCTCGGCGTTCTCCCCCAGGACCAGGAGCTGGAGAGCCTGTCAGCCATCGAGGCGGAGCTGGAGAAGGTGGCCCAGCAGCTGCAGGCGCTGCGGCGGGGGTGAGGCGCCGGCGGGCCCCTCCAGCCAGGGCCCCGAGGCCCCCTGTGGTCCTGGGCCGGCCCGGCCGAACCTGTGCCGCTGCTTTCCCGGAAGGGAGGGCAGCCCCAGCCCAGGCCCGCCTGCGACCCAGGCCCAGCCTTCCCCCCCCACCCCCCCCTTTTCTCCTGCCCCCAGGCACCCCTCTGCAGGGCAGACCCCCACGACTTCAAACGATGATCCTTTCTCTGAACACAGGAAGCTTTCTAGAAGTTTCCTTCCACATCAGAGCCATTGGGCACAACTGCAATAACCTCTGACCCCCCGGGGAAACGTTGAGCACTCCTGACTGTAATATACCCTGCACACAACTTAAAAAGAAAATAAATCTGCTCTGGGCTCTCCTGGCTCTTTGAACCTCCCCCCTCGTGACTCCGAGCGGGCGGGATGGGTGGGATTCTGGCAAAGGGACGGGGAGGCCCGTTCCGCTGGGGCGACTCCTTTCTGGGCAGCTTCTTAGCCGTGGGCCTCGGGCAGAGGACTGCCTCCTGAGCATCAGTTGTCCCGTCTTCTGTATAACGGAGTGCTGGCATCTGCCTCCAAGTGTGTGGGGATTAAATCACACATGCAAAGGGCCCGGGTTCCTTCCTCTCCCCCACTTCCCAGCCACACCTGAGCTGGGCCCCCCAAAGGCGGGGTCAGTGGGGAACCGCCTCAGCTCTCCGTGGTGCTGGGGGGAGCGCCTGCCACACGGCCACAGGCGCCCTCGGCCTGAGCGCCATCCCTGACCCGCACGGGCACAGGCATCTGGGCGTCTGAAGTTCTTGCACATTTAACGGCTCACGAGGGCTCAGTCTCAGCTTTGAGAATGAGGAGACTGAGGCTCACAGGGTGAGAGGACTCATCCAGGTCACGGGCAGGGGTGACACCCACATTTCACCGTGGGGTGCAGGGTCACACACAAGGATGGATGGGGCGGGTGCGTGGGACGGGTGCGGACCGCTGAGTGTCAGGGCTGTGCAGTGCTCGGCAGGCATCTGAAGCGGCTGCTGTGGGCCTGGCAGCCCTGAGCTCGCAGGTGGACGGACAAGCCCTGACCTCAAGGAGCCACCGCCCAGCAATGGGGGTTGACGGCAGACTGGAGTTGGCACCCCAGCCCAGCGAGGGAGCTCCGGCGAGCGTTCCCGGCGCCTCGGTTTCCTCATCCACCAAGTGGGGTTAACAGGTCCCGGTGGGGATTCGAGAGGCCCAGGCAGACTGGGTCAGAAACCAGGGTGACGCCAACACACGTCACTGGCGGGGCCGGGCAAGTCTGGGCCTCTCGTGCAGCGGGCGAGGGTTTCCGCTAGTCAGTCAAGTGTCGAACATCCACGCCTGAGACTTGGTAGCAAATGAGGGAACACCTCGTCCCGGAAGTGACCCATCCCAAAGAGGGGCCTCCTGCGCTGTCATAACCCCAATCCCACGGGCAAACCTGCAACAGAGCCGTGGACAAGGTGCGGTTGGCTTGCACAGAAGCCGGCCGTGCTTTTGTATATGACAGACATGTCCATATGAGCGTCAGGTGCACGGATGTCACATGAGTCGGTGAAAGCCAGCTTGGGGTTCTGGGAAACGCTGCTTGGGAGCAGGGTTGGAGCACGTGGCATTTGTCACAAAGCACAGGTGTCAGCACCAAACCAGAACTGCCAGCCTGGTGAGACCCTGCTGCACAAAGCCTTTCGAGAGAGAAGCTGCAGAGGGTCTGCCCCCACCCCCATGGCCCTGGGAGAAGGGGTCCGCGCTCTCCCTCCCCCCATGGCCCTGGGAGAAGGGGTCCGCGCTCTCCCTCCCCCCATGGCCCTGGGAGAAGGGGTCTGGGCCCCCCTTAGTCCTGGGAGAAGGGGTTCCGCCCCCTCCACAGCCCAGGGAGAAGGGGTCCGGCTGCCAGGTTGGGGACAGCAGGAAGAAGGAGAGGAGACGACTCTGGAAAAGGCCCCTCGTGGTGAGGACGAGGGCCCGGGTGGTACCGTCCGCCAGTGCCCTCTGAACAGCCTGTTGAGGGTGTCCCTGCCTCTGAAGGCCACATCACCTCGGGCTCGGGGTGGGCAGGTGTAAGTGGGACCAGGGCGTGGCCAGGCTGCCGGAAGAGGGAGGCCAGAACTTTTGTCAAGAACCGATGCACTTCTCTGCCTCGGGGTGAGCCATGGTGGGGAGCCCGCTCCCAGCTCTAGGTCTCTGCGGCCCAGGGCCCTTGGGCCGTGACCGAGAAGGGAGCGGGGCTGCCAGGACCTCACCAGGTGAAGGACCTGTTTCTAGGGGGCGGAGGAGAGCAGATGCCAACCCCAGACAGCCACTCAGTGGCGCTCACGGCCAGCGGCCAGGGTGAGGGCCAGTCTTCCAGGCGAGGACGGAGAACAGCCGCTTTTCCCAGCTGGCGGAAAGCCACAGCCTCCTGCCGGGTCCCTCAGCCCCCCAAGCCCGGCCTCTGGTGCGGAGGACAGCTCTCCCCAGGTTCCCTCCGTGAATGCAGGGACGCCAGCTGGGCCTGCCTTCTGCAGGTGACACCGCTGGCTCCGGGCTCAGCCCCACCCACAGGTGCTGCCAGCCCAGACACCTGCCTGTTGCCGAGGGCGAGGACCCCTCTCGGGGACTCCTCTGGGCTCCTGCCTCAGATGGGCACAAGAACTGGCCCAGGGAACAGGCCTCCCACGTGACCTCTGACCTACCCAAGGCCTCAGCCAAAAGGTGGCCCTGCCAGTTGCCACCCGATGCTGCAGGGCCACAGCCCCATGTGGTAGAGGCCAGTGACAAGGAGGCCCGAGGGGAAACCTGCCCTATGGATGGTGTCAGTGTGCACCCCGCTGACACGGGGGTGGGGTGGGGGGGGCGCTCATCACTCCCAGCCCCTCCCCTCCACTGCGCTCCCTGCCACGGCCCCTGAAATCCCTTGAGACGGCTGCTGCTGGCCCACGGTGGTGATCAGCCCAGGGAGAGGACTGCACATGTGTGGGTGCAGCTGGGCCCCTTCCCACCCCTGGCAGCTCCCTGCCTTTAGGAAGCCAAACCACCCCCTCGGTTCCCACTCCTGGAAAAGCAGTGACCGTGCCCGCCACCCGCAGGAGGCCAGTGGAAAACGCCAAGTCAGCAGAAAGCAGTAACTTGACACCTGGGGCCTGGACGCTAACGTGCGTGACACTGAGGTGACATCAATCATACAGGAACGGGAGCCGGTCAGGGTCCTGGCCTGGCATCAGGGGTCACACCGCAGGCCCCACCTGCTCTGGAGGCAAAGTGGGTTAGACTTTTATTAAAAAAGGTAAAGCCATTTTATTAAGACTTGGGGGATGACAAACTTCTGGCAACATTGTGTACACACATGCACAGTGCAGTTTGATTTCAGTAGTTTATTCTGGAGACAAAGCAGTGCAAGAGGCGGCCACGCATCCCGCTTCCCAGGGCTCAGGCAGCCAGGAGTGACGCGGACATTGTAATTGGGGTTCCACACTCAGTCGTGTAAACGCGGTTAGTCAGCAGGCCCGTGTCCAGGACAGCGGGCAGCTCTGAAGGCAGCCACCCCACCCCAGGCCGAGGCGGGCAGCCCCTGCTCCCCGCTGAGCCGGTGCCCAGTTCAGCAGCCTCCGGCCATCCTCCCGGCCTCGCGGGACAGCCAGGCCTTTTCCTCCTCCTCAAACCCAACTGGTACCTAAGACCAAGGTCACGCTCGGCAGGTCCTGGCATCTCTCCCAGAGCTCACTGTCCTGGGACAGACACAACCTTCCTCTGAGGAGGGGCTGCCAGCCGTGGACCTTGGGATGCAACAACCAGCTGGCGGCCTGTGCTGCCACCAGGGCTGGGTGGCTAGTTGGGAGGGAATTGTTTTCTCACCTCTGGGCTGCTGCTCCCTCTCCCTCCCCGGTCCCTGCTGGCTGGCTCAGTGGTTGGGGCTGCAGTGAGTACAGGAGGGGGACGGGGTCTGCGGGGTAAGAGTGGGGCGGGCGGCTCCTCCTGCCTGGGAAGGGGACCCCACATCGCCTTGACGCCAAGGGGGAGTCCGTCCAGGTCCACTTCTCGGGAAAGCAGGTGCATCGCAGGGCCTGGGGCGTCAAGCCCGCCCTTCAGAGTTCTGGTCTCCACGGAGGCCGGCGACTCTCAGAATGACTTGCCCAAAGTCATGGCACAAATCCTTGGCACGGGCGGGGTCAGCCTGGGGGACCCAACCAGGCGGCCTGCTCCAGGGTCCCGACGAGCAGCGCTTGGTCAAGGAAGAAGCCCCTGCGGGGCCGCGTGGGGCACGTGGTGAGGGGCGGAGGGGCTCCAGGGAACTGGACGTGAGGGAGGCAGTGAATCCAGGGCCTGGCCTCCCCAGGGAAGCTTCCTTCCCCTTCCCTCTGGGAGAAGGAAGCGGCCATAGCCCAGACCCAGCACGGAGCCTCCCTACAAGCGGCAGCTGCGGCCTCTTGCCCCCGTGGCTCATGCTTCTGGGAAGAGCAGCTGCATACGTTGTGGGGTTTTGGGCCCCACTCCTCTCAAAGCTGAGAGGAGGCCGGCCTGGGGGTGGGGCTTGGAGAGGAGTGAAGGGGAACCGTCTACTTGCTCCGTTCAGCGCCCCCAGCCTAAGCCTGGTCCGCAGCAGCCATCGAGACCAAGACACGGAAGTGTACACACACTCGCACACGCACAGCAATCGCACACGTGCACACACCCCTCCACTCAGACCTAGTGTTGAAGCACACGCGTGTGTGAACTGGGTGACGATCTGCACGGCAGGAGTTAGGCAGGGGCCCTCTTCTGGGAGCTGGACCGCCGGGCTCTTTCCACCCCCCAGCCCCTCACTTAGATAATGACAGAAAATAAGGTTAAAAATTGGGGGAAAAATCAGACCGTTGGGAATTCTAAGGAGGATGTCACCACTGGGGGCTGCTGGTCCAGTGGCCGTGCTCTGTGGCCCACGCTGCCCTCTGGGTCCGGGCTCCGTGGCTACTGGGAGGAGGCCTTGGTGGCCAGGGAGGCCACGCAGTGCTGCTGGAAGCTGGGCGACACGGCGGCGGTGCAGCCCAGTCTCTGGTGCGGCAGCTTGGCGGTGCTTCCCGCACCCACGCCGCCCGCGTCATCCTCCGCGGTCCAGGGCGGGTCCTGGCCCATCATGCTGCTGCAGCAGCCGGGGCTGGCGCTGCACGTCCGCTCGCCCCGCCAGGCTGTCCGCCTGCTCCGCCAGGAGCCTGCTGTGCCTCAGCGGGGCCGTGTCCCCTGCGGCTGCGGCTGCGGTGGCTGCGCTCTGGCCCTGCAGGATGGTGGCGATGTGGTTCAGGAGGTCTGTGAAGAACTCGCTCACGCCCTCGTAGCCTGGGGTGGGAGAGACAGACAGCACAGGCTCAGCCAGCTGGAGCTGGAGGCAGCTGCGGCCCGCGGGGAGGGAAGGCACAGAGGATAAGGCTGATGGACGCTACACAGCTGGACTCAAAGGGCTGGTCCCTGAATGTGCTGCCCCCGTGTGAGAAGCCGATGAGAAAACACTCCCCAACCTGTCCCTCTCGGGCACCGCTTCCCTCTCGGGCACCGCTTCACAGGCTCCTTCATCAGGTGGTCGGACCGAAGGCCCACTGCTCCTCCCGTTCTGAATCACTAACTCCCCTTCCCACCGAGGCCGGCCTCAGCTTCCTCCTGTGCGAGCTGAGAACTCGGGGAGATTCCTGTGGGCACGACCGAGGGGGCTGGAAAGTGGGCGATGCCTGACCCATAGCAGCTGCTCCCAAAATTGAGTCCTCACCCCCAAAATGCCTGCGGGGTACTGCCTGTGCCCCTGCTCTGAGCATCACAGCCAGGGGGCAGATGGAGCACCCCCGCGAGGCCACACACTGGCAGCGGCTTCCCTAACCAAGTGCGGCCCAGGGTCCTGAACAGAAACTGCTGGGCCTGCAGTTCCCTCCGCAGAAGCGAACGCACATGTCAGCACAGGCGTCCTTGGGAGCCGAGCAGAATGAGAATCTAGGGCGAGGATTTTGCTGACTCCCCAAAACTACTTCAAGAGACATGCCACCTGGGGTGGGTGCCCCCACCTTCCTAAGCCAATTTGGCAGGACAAGAACCAGGCAAAGGGCTGCAAGAACGAGGGTGAGGACATGAAGCGTGTCCCTGAAGGCCAGTGTGCCCGCTTCAGAGGGGCCTGGCACTGCCCACACCGCCCCGCGCACTATGCGCCCACCACCACGGTGCGCACGAAGGTTCAGGAAGGGCAGGGTGCGTGAACTTTAGAGAAAGGCCTGCCTGGTGCTGCAGGGCGGGGCTGCCTCATTTGCTCACTCGTGTCTGTGCCCACAGGGAAAGTAAAATGGGTGAAGTAGCTGGCACACACAGTGCCTCCATGGACACACGTCCCCTCGCCTGATCTTCACAGCTCTCCGTCCCGTGTCGCAGATGAGTTAGTCACGTGATTGGCCCCAGAGGCACAAAGAGCCAACCAGGTGGACACGGGACTATACACGAGGGTGGAGGTGGTGATGGCGGCCTCGCTGGGTGCATCCTGGCTCACAGAGCACGGCCTCCAAGTGACAGAGCCAGGGTCTGGAGCAGGCCCTTTGGCCCCACCTTGAGTCCCATGTGGTGCTGGGCACCCCACCCAGGACGGGCTTCTTTCAGCCCTGGGCTGGGGGAGACGGGCAGGCGGCCCAGGCCCCTTGGGAGCCACCAGCAGGCGTGCCCAGGTTTCTAGGGGAGAGACACAGTGTGGGAAGGGCTGGAGTCACGTCAGGAGGCACCAGGGGACAAGCCGTTCCCTCAGCAACCGCTCTGCTGTCCCCTGGTGAGGCCTGGAGGCCCCGGGCGGGTGTGTACTTCCTGGTGAGGGACGGAGGCCTGAGGGTGGCCAGGAGGCCGTGCAGGCCGCTCTGGGCCCACAGCTCTGCAACTGAGAGGTGAACCAGCCGGGGGCACCAGCTCAGGCCAGGCTCCTCCGTCTCTGCGAGGTGGGAATGCCCTGGTGCAGAGTGAGCACCGAGACTGCCCCGCTGGGCGCTGCCCCATCAGACGGCAGGCAGAGCCGGGATGGAGGCAGCCGGAGCGAGAGGCAGGGCGCCTGTGGTCAGGAGCGAGGCCCATCCCGGCTCTACCAGTGGGGAGCGGTGACTTTGGACAAACCATCCAGCCCCCAGCCTCCACGTCACCATCGTAAACTGGCAAAGCTCCCAGGGCTGCCTGGTGTGGCGGGTATTGATGCCACCCACTGTTACTACTTCCTGGAGCCCAGCACGCAGCCCTCTCCCCCACGGCCTGATGCGCTGTGGGCCCTCCCTGTGCGTGAGGGCTTCCTTGCACCCTGCAAACGCCCCCCAAACAGTGGTGGTATCTCCTCGCTGAGCCCCTCGCTGAGGCGAGACCACGAGGGCCCCGCATGTGCTCCCCCGCTCGGGGCTCCAGCAGACAGCAGGGAGCACGGGCCAGCCACAGGGAGCACCGCGGCTCTGGGAAGGGTGAGGAGCACAGCCCTGCACCAACCTAGGCATGACCTGGGACTACTCCTCCTCTCTGGGCGGCTCGGTGCCCACGGAAATCCCTCCAGCATCCTTTCAGCTCTTCACATCTCCACGGGACCCAGGGATCAGCTAAGGTTTGGCCAATAGCAGCTAACGCTGAAGGCGCAGGGTCAGGAGAGGAGGCGAGAGAACAGGCGTTTGCGGGCCCACCATGCACCCTGGCTGGATGTCCGGACCCGACCTTCGCTCTCCCCACAGCCTGCAGCCCCATCGGCAGGAGGGCTGAGGCCCAGTGGGGGCTGCATTTACTCCAGGCTCCACCGAGAGGATGGAGCTGCCCTGTCACCTGCCCAAGGACACAGCCCCTGCCGCTCACCTGGGAAGGCATTGATGTCGATGACAGCGTGCTGCCCTGTCTGGTTGTTGATGATGATGTCGATCCCGAAGAGAGACACGCCCAGTGCCTGCCGCAGGGCCCGGGAGAGCTGCCGGATGACCTCGTCACTAGGCCGCTCGAACACGCCCTCGATCTTGTCCAGCTGCCAACACACCAGACACACACACACACACACACACACACACACACACACAGGAGTCAGGCCGTAAGTGGGGGGGCGCAAAGCCACACACCACAGAGACCTTCAGACAAGGGGGTAGGAGAGACCAGCACCAGGATTGGCTATTTCTAAAGTCCTTTAAAAAATGTTTTTACTGATTTTAGAGAGAAGAAGGGAGAAGGATAGAGAGATAGAAACATTGACAAGAGAGAAACATCGATTAGCTGCCTTCTGCACACCCTCCACCCACCGGGGATCGAGCCCATAACCCAGGCATGTGCCCTGACTGAGAATCAGACGCCGTGGCTCATCTGCGGAACAGGACCAATGAGGCTCCCACCCCGACTACTGGGGGGACCATGAGGAGCTACGTGGCAGGGACAGCACATGCCTGCGGGAAGGGGGACAGCGCCGTGTCACCTCTGTGTGTCACCTCCTGGGAGGTGCCCCACTTGCTGGAGTCCCAGGACTGTGAGCTCAGGGGCCGAAGAGGCACTGACCCATCAGAAATAGAAGTGAAGCTGGGTCACAAAGTTAAACACGGAATTGCCTATGGCCCAGAGATTCCACTCCTAGGTGTGTAACCAGAAGACGGAAAGTGGGTATTTGCGTGCCGATGCTCACAGCGGCAGATCCACAAGCCAAAACGTCCCTCAGCGGATGGCAAACAGAATGTGTCACCCACACACGGAGTGTCCTCGGCCACGTGCTGCAGCGCGGACGGCCTGGGAAACGAGGCTGAGTGAGAAAGCCAGGCCCAGCAGGCCACATGCTGCAGGACTCCCTGAACCTGAAGGGCCCAGGAGAGCTAGATCTGCAGAGACAAACAGCAGACGAGTGGTTGCCAGGGCTGGGGGGTGGGGCGGGTGGGGAGGGACTGCCAATGGGCACGGGGCTTCCTTTGCAGGTGAAGGTACTCCAAGCCACTGACTTGTTCACTTTAAAAAAGTGAGGCTGGGTCCGGACGGCTGGGGACAGCCCTGGGCACCAAGGACAAAGGGCCCCGTCCCAGCACAGGAAGCTGCATGGCGACCGGGAACTTCTGACCCGTGTGAGCAGGGGCCCCTCACGTGGGCAGCGCCCGTGCTCCTAGGTGAGCGCCCCCGCCCCCGCCTCTGCAGGAAAGGCAGGGCCCCTCATGCCCAGACCTCTGTCTTGGCATCTTATGGGGGAAACACTTGCCAAGGGGCTGTGATGGGCACTCACCACTGAGCCCCCGCCCGCCGCCTCCTGGCACTCGGCCCCGCGGGAGCTCGGCCCTGGTCCTGCCGCTGCGTGCTGAGCCTCAGGGCCCTCTGGGTCATTTCTCACCCGGTCAGTGGGTGCACAGACACCCTCGTCTGGGACAGTGGTGAGGGTCCAAGAAGCTAATGTCCAAGGCTCACAGCGCAGGCCTGGCAGCGACAGCCCTGGCTGCTGCAGCAGCACGAAGTCTCCTGACACGCTGTTTGTACAAGCCTTTCTCAGCTCAGTAAGGAATCTCAGAAACCGCCCGGAGCCTTTCAGTATCTGAGCCCAAAGAGCCGCCCAGACGAGATAAAGGCATGGAAGTCCTGCCCGTGGCACAAACAGAAAGGAGACGATGATGCTCTGGGCAATGAGGCAGTGACAGGAGGGAGGGAGCCGTGTGCATGTGGACCGCCATCACAGCTGCTCTGCTGGCACTTCCTGCCCACCTGGCACTGCCCTAGGGAGCAGGAGGGAGAAACCGAGGCTCAGAGAGGCCCAGTGACTCTCCTGAGGCCACACAGCTGGGATGTTGTGGAGCTGGGTCTGACCCCAGGCAGCCTAGTCAGTGTCCACACTCTTGACCGATCCCCTATCCTGGCGTTTGGGGTCTGCTCGCTGGGTGTGGGAGCAGGGGCATCAGCTGTGGATGGACGGGCTTCAAGGCCAGGCAGGGCTCCCTGCAGGGGACGGTGAAGGGGATGGGGCCCTGGGTGGGCAGGAGGAGGGTGGGGCGTGTCTGGGGTGCAGCTGTCGGTCCTGGCCAGCCTGCAGGCTTGCGTCCTCAATGGAAAGAGGACAGCTGACTGCATTTCCCTTCAGTTCCAGGAGTTCCCGAACAGCAGCCATAAGCTGGGGGGAGGTGGGGGGAGCAGACAACGCAGACCCTACAGGGCCAGAGGCGGCCCCAGAAGTGCCCTGGGCGGCCCCTCCCCTTCACAGACAGAGACAGGGGAGGGGGAGACGGGATTACCCAAGGTCACTTGGGGTGGGTCACTCTGCGTAGGGCCCTGGCATCAGCTATAGCCCCGGCAGCCAATAGGCCACGCACGGTGTAGGGACAGTGTCCGCGGAAGCTTGTGCAATGCCGGCTTCCCTCTGCCAGCCCGAGCAATGCCTGACAGCTTCGCGGGGAACTGGGCTCGCCTAACGTGTCTGAAGCTTAGGAGACCAGACAGCCACCCCCCGCTTTTAAATCCTTTCTTGTGCAGTTTATTTCCATCTCCTAATGCACACAGCCAGGCACACAGCCAGTCCCGGAGCTTCCCTGACTGAGAAACGCCCCTCACCATTCTGAAGGGCGCTGGGTTCCCTCCAGGCCCTGTCCACACCTGTGGGCGGCCCACCCCCAGCACACAGCTGGCTCCTCAGGGAACCGGAAACCAAAGACAGACAGGTGGCCGGGCCGGGGAGGAGGTGGCAGGGCAAGCACAGGCCCTGACGTGGAACAGAGGGAGTGGGGTCCGAGGCAGGGTCTCTCTAGAGCTCGTTGGTGAGGCCAGAGGACAGGGAAGGGGACACGGGCAAATCCTCCCAGAACAGGAGGACGGCCGAGTCGGGGAGCAGGAGACCCAGCAGGGGCTCCCAGCAGAGGGTCCCCAGTGAGATAACAAGTCCTCGATTCCTGGGGGACCAGCTCTGGAACTAGATGGGCCTGGGGTCAAGTCCCAGCTCTGCCCTGGGAGCTCGGAGAAGCCACCAGCCTTCGAGCACAGCCCCCCTCGGGAAAGCGGAGCTGCCCTGCCCGCCCTGCCCCGGGCCTGGCTGCAATGCCCCAGGGCATCCAGGAGGGAGCCTGACACACAGCAACACTGACCAGCAGCCTGAGCTCACCACCCACCGAGAAGCAGCCCAGCAGCACAGAAGTGACAGCGGGTGGCTAACACTCCCCGGACACACACAGACAAAGAGAGTGAAAGGAGATGGCGTGGCCTCTCACCCCGTCTTTAAATCAGTACAAAGCAGGGCATCAAGCTCCTCCTGACTGGGGAGCTCCCCGTGCAGGGGGAAGAGCTGGAAAACCTCCCCGGGCGTGACCTGGTGGTGAGCGGGCCTGGGCACGCAGGTCGTCAGCACGAAGGCCCGGGGCAGGCAGGCCAGAGGCCTCTGGGGAAGGCCCCTCCGACCCTGCCCACGGGAGAGCTCGACCCTGGGCCCCGCAGCCAGGAGCACACCCGCCCAGGCTCACACCAGCCACCAGGGCGGCAGGGACATACCTCCGTCAGGACCGATGACGACTCCGGCTTGGACACGTTGTGGCTGTTGAAGAAGATGGACTTGCGGTCTGAAAAAGCGAACACACGGAGAAGCCGATTAGCAGCTCAAAGAGGGGATGGCGACGCCACCGCCTAACACCAGAGGGCAGCACCGCCCCGGCCACAAGTGACGGTGGCCGCATCGGCCTTCAGGCTCAGTGTCCAGCAGCTGCCATCTGAGGCCCCAGTGAGCCGGGCACCCCCACCCCAAGGAGACACTACGCCACGGATGGACACATGCCTGCTCAGGGCTCCTGTTTCAAGTTTCCTTCCCATAGAAAAATGACTGAGTGAGCCCACCAGGGTAAGGGCTGGTTCTCTCCAACACCTGAAGGCCCCATCCCCACACCGTGTCCTGTGGACCCGGCATCAGAAAGCCGGGTCTGTGGCTATGTGGACAGGAAATGCCGCACACCCGACTGTCACAGCCGGGATGAAGCGGTCGGGAATGCCACTTCGCCCAGCCTCCCCGGCCCTCCCGGTGTCTGCCCTTGGCCTCCTTTCCCGGGAGCACCGGAGAAGCAGCGAGGCTGCACTTGGCATGTGAATGCTGAAAACAAAGGGTTCTGCGGTTCCCCCACTCTTTAGGGGAAAAATAGGAAATCAGAACGTGGGCGTCTGTAGGTAACACCCAAGAAGGCACACAGAACCGCCTGCCTGGCTCTGGAAGCTGTCATGGCCCCTGAATGCCCTCCACCTCCTTCCACCCCGTTCCCCCGACCCACGCCCACCTTCACTGCACCCCATGTCACTCAATCCCATGGGGACAGGCAGGCCGATCCCAAGACTAATGGGAGCGACGAGGCCGGTTTGTGTTCACCCGTGGGAGAGGAAACGAAGGTCGTCGGCCAGGTAGAAACATGTTCTCGAGCACTTGGGAGAGTGGGCACCGAATGTAAGCATCGCAAACACGAGCCTGGGGCCAGGTCCTGGAAAAGGCTGCCTATCACCCCCATGAACCCCCAGGCATGACACGGGCCCCAAGCCTCCATGCGCCCCTGAACGCAGGACAGGAAGGCTGAGCACCATCGTGTGCCAGGGCCCAGGCCGAGGGGCACCTGCTCTGGCTGCCAACAGCCCCACCAGGACTACGGCGATGCCATGATCATGCACGAGGAAGGATGTGGGCGGAGGCCAAGCAGGCAGGCGCTGAGATGTACCTGGCGTGCTTCCTGCCAGCGAGGCACACAGGCCCCCTGCCGCCCAGGAGTGCCCGACAGTCCTCCCGTCGCTCCAATCAGAGCCGGTCCAGACCGGGGGCATGAGAGATGGTCCTGGGGAGGAGCCTGGGGAAAATAAACACCCGGCAGGACTCGTGCCAAGCAGCTCACCGACCTCGACTCCAGGCACCAGCAGCAAGAGTGAGCCGTGGGGGTAGAAGCCCCCAGGCCAGAGGCCGGAGCAGGGCTGGAGCTGCTGGGACGGGCACTCCGGCCTTCGGCAGGCACTGCCCACCTTCTCGCCTGCACCCAGCCGGGCCCAGCCCCACTGAGCTCACTTCCTTAAAGAAAAGATACCCAGTTCCTCTAAAATGGTCCTGGCCAGGCCCTGGCCCTCTGATGGCAGGAACACCCTGGATGTGGGGACCCATCCACTCTCTGCTCCCCGACTGTTCCTGGTGAAGGGCCATCACCACCTCCCGGCAGGGGAGGGAGGGCAATGAGAGAAATATGGGTGCTTTTGCCCCCGATTTACAGATGAGAACAGCAGATTCAAAATAAGGAGAGTAAATGACAAGATTAGCCCCAAATATCCTGTAACCAGTGGTGCAGCCATGAGCTACGCCACACTTCCTTCAGCCCCTTGTGCTGAATCTTCATGTCTCCCTCTGGGGGTGGGGTGGGGGGTGGGGGGGGTGTCACAGAGCTGTGGATGGTGACCCAGGTCTTGTTCAGGTTTCCATACACTGGTCACCTCTGCATGGGGGCCCGCCCTGTCCAAGTGGCTCCCTTCACCCAGTGGTGTCCCGGGACCCACTTATCTGGTGCCTTAATGAACCCTTTTATTATTTCTTTCCTCGTGTGCAGGAAAACACAAGTCCGGGAGGGCAAGACGTGTGGCTGACTGCTGGATCCCTCAGAGGCTCTAGGCGAGAGACCAGCAAACCACATCTGTAAATAAAGTTTTATTGGAACACAGCGTGCCCATTCATTTACATAGTGCCTGCAGTGCGTCCACGCTACAGTGGCAGCGTTAGATAACCATGATAGAGCTGGAAATATTTACTATCTGGCCTTTTGCAGAAAAACTCCCGCTGACCCTCTCAATGGGAAAGTGTATCATTCCTGTCTGTATCCCCAAGCGAACAAGGCCCCGGATGGAAAGCATGTCAAGGCGCTGTGTCCGCAGAGGAAGTGCCCTTTCCGACCCTGGCAGGGGTGCAGGCAGGGAGCGGTCTCCCCAGACAGTGACCCACAGGCAGAGAACAGAAGCGCTCCTGGTGGCAGGTACAGGCCAACGCCACCTGCGCAAGAACCTGACTTCAGTTTCAGTCGACGCGACTTGCCAGGCGCCACTGGCTGTGGGACACCCCTGACTTCAGAGACATTAAAACGTAAAACCGGAAGTGCACCCGAGAAGCCGAAGAGCACGCAGCCGTGGGGGCAGGACAGCGTCCCCTCCGCCCCGTGTCCCGGAGAAGCCTGCTCAGGTTGCCCCCAGCTCCCCACGCCACAGGTGAGGCCGGGGCACCACACTGGGCAACGGGAACCAGAAGGGGGTGGGGCGGGAAAGAGCCCAAGGCCCCCTGTCAATCAGTCCAGCTTCAAGGGCCGCTGTCAGGTGGAGAACACGCGTGCGAAAAGAACAAAGCCCACGCCAGCTCCCTGGGCGGTGCCGGAGACAGCGACAGGGACTCAGCCCTGGGGCCGTTTCAGACCCAGTGGCATTTCTCCACCGGCTCGGTGTGTTATTTGCTCATTCACTCGGCCCCGGTCCGCATTTTATGGCAAACTGGCAACCTGGAACCGGCCACAGGAAGACACAGACGTGGAGCCCACGCCCTCCAGGACATGGACCAGCGCTTCGCAACCAGGAGAGAAAGGGGGCACTTCTGCGTGGAAAGGAAGGAAACTGTGGTGCGCTTCTTTAAGAAACGGGGTGATTGTGTTAAAGAAAAAAGAAAGGAGACAACCTAAGGTATGGCTACTCTTAATCTAATACATTTCCAAAGATTTGAAGCACATATTTTTTTGAAATGTGGATTTAAAAAAAAACAACCATCAGCCAGGGACTTAAAAAAAAACGTCAGCCCCTTTTGGCCCACAATTGATAAGAATGCTTCTTGCACCCGGTCGGTGTGGCTCAGTGGTTGAGCATCGACCTATGAACCAGGAGGTCAGGGTTCGATTCCCAGTCAGGGCACATGCCCAGGTTGTGGGCTCGATTCCTAGTGTGGGGCGATGCAGGAGACAGCTAATCAATGATTCTCTCTCATCATTGGTTTCTCTCTCTCTCTTCCTCTCTGAAATCAATACAAATATGTTATATATATCATAAAAAGGATGCCCCTTGCAGGTATACAGTCACACACCAAAGGACCCCTCCCGACATCTGTCCTCCACCCCCAGGTCATCCCATCCCAGAGGGTGGGGGCTGGGACCAGGGTGAGGACGGGGGTGTCCTGAACCTTACACGGGCCTCAAGTCCTGGAGCCCAGGCCTGGCTGGGAGGCCGCCTGCTCTCGGGAGGACAATCCAAAGTGTCTGCTCTGGTGCGTTAAGGGGAAGACGGCTGAGAGGAAGACAAGAACGGCTGAACTTCACTCAGGAGAGTGGCCTGCGCCCCGGGAGGACTGACAGGCAGCCCCAGCAGGTCTCAGGAGGACCATCTGTCTGGACAGCTGGTAGTGCCGCTGGGCATCCCAGCCAGTGGCGAGTTTCCCGCGCGGAGCCGAGTGCACAGAGAGCTGAGCAAACCACGCCGGCCACCGACGTCCTCCCGGAAAGCCACTCTCCACAGATGCTGCCACCGTTCCAATAGGTTCCAGAACGTGCCTGGGGGATGCCTTCAGAGCCACTAAGACATTCCTGGGAGCAGCCTCAACACAAGCAAATCCTTATCCTAGTGCCAGTCTGCGAAACGGCCCGGCCAGCAGGCGGCAGGGGAGCAGCGGAGGCAAAGCTGGGCTTATGGAGCCACCAGCCTCCCTGAGGGCTCCTCAGCTGCCCCCAAGGACGGCAGCGGCCTGCAGACGCCATTGCTGTGACCCCCGAGGGACACGTGGGACCGTCACCCACTGGTCCACCACAGTCACTGACTCAGTCCTCACCCGTGGGGCACAGCGAGGTGTCGTGCCCACCGCCTGCCCCAGGCCCCAGCTGGGAGCCCTGTGGCCCTGCGCGCTGACCTCTCACAGGGCGCACGTCCGCCTCGGCGGCTGCAGGAGCAGCCAGCAGCTTGGTGTTTCCCCATTTGGAAAAGGGATACAGTCAGTGGTCGGGCCCTCAAAACAGGAGGGGCCCCTCCCTCCTCCCCTCCCCTGAAGGGCCCGTCATCCGTTCCAGCAGGTTCCTCCTGTGTCTCATGGCACAGGTCCCCAGCAAGCAACCTGGGCACAGAAAATGTGGGGGTGCTTTTCGGAGTTTACAGTGGTTCGAATGGATGGGACGGGGGTTTCGTTCTTTTCCAAGATCTCTCCATTACAGCACACAATTCCTTCACCCTCCAGACGACTGCTTCCCCTCCAGACAACCCAGGTGCCAGGGGTTAGTGCTCAACCGACGCTGTGTCCAGCCGGGCCGAGCTCGGGACAAGCTGAGAAGGCGGGAGGCTTGGTTACCTGACATGCCCGCGGAGAAGTTCTTGAGCGAGGGCCTCTGGACCACCGTGTAGGACTCGCCGACCACGAACACCTTGTAGAGGACAGCGTTGTGGTTGATGAAGTTCTGGACCACGCAGGGCGGCTGGATGGCGCTCAGGCCCTCCTGGTTGAACACGATGGCCATCTGGGGAGACAGGGCCATGGGCGTCAGCGCACCGCCCTCCCGCCTCAGACAAGGTGCACCACCGGCCCTGCCACCGGCCTGACGACTCGGCAGGACTCTCAGCGGGGTGAGTGGAGCGGGGCTCGGAGGAACACTGGGACCAATCCACTCCCGTGGGTTGGAAACCCCGCACACCGGGCCTGCCATGCGGGGCTGAGCTGGCTGCACTGCGAACCCCCTGTTCACGCTGCAGTGCAGGGAGCGGACCCTGGCTGTGTGCTACTCAACCCTCATGACTTCCTTGGAGGGCCCTCCACACGGCCTGGGACGGAGAGGCAGAAACCAGAAGACTGTGGAGCAGGAGTCGGGAGGCCTGGGTCAAAGCCTGCGATGACGAGGGCTGCCGCTCACTGCACACCCAGGACAGGCCCTGTCCTGACGATGACGTGAGACGCCTGCGGGCACCGTGCACCTTGGAGCTGGGCACGTCATCAGCCCCTTTACAGATGAGGAAACCGCGGCCTTGAGAAGCTCAGGGCTTGCTGGAACGTGACTGGGACTGCCCAGCCCGCAGCCTTGTCCTCTTACATGTGGACGGGCACATGCTGCTCGCCGTCCCGACGGGAGGGTCTGCAAGGGGACTGAGGGAGGGAGGGCAGACGCTAGAGAAACGCCCAGCTCCGGCGGAGGCTGCCTGCAGGCCCACTCGAGCAGCCGACAGTGCCGGCCGCAGCTGATCCCTCAGCCCGCAGGCCCCAGAGGAGTCGCCGATGCCGGAGGCTGCTGGGGGGATACAGCCTGACAGCTGCTGCTGCCCCCCTGCTGCCCCCACGTCAGGGGCCACCCAGTGTGCCCGGGCTCAGCTGGACGGGGAGAGAGTAGAGACCCAGGTCACATGGGAGACAAAACGCCCCACAGTGACTGTCTCCTTAGCCTTCGAGGAGAATAAGAGATGGTAAGAGGGCCCGACGCGGGTTCGAGTCCCAGCGCCACACACTGCACAAGCACGGCAGGGACTTGCTCTATCTAAGCTCCATTCCTCACCTGTCTGGTAGCATCAACCCCCAGGGACAGGCTTGGGGGCCGGGGGAGCTTTGAGCTTTGGTTTAAAAACGGGTGAGGGACAGTCCAAACTGTGGAGCAAACAGTGTGCTCGCCTCGGCTTACAAACACACAAACCAAACGGTTCTGTGAGCACCAGCCAGGCGCACGGAGTGCCCTCCAGAGGGTGAGCGGACACAGCCAGGGGGTCCTCGCTGCTCTCACACCGCAGGCACCCGAGGAGGTGAGGAGCCTGCCCCACCCGCCCCCAGGCTCCTGCTGTGGAGGGCACCCCACTGGAGGGGGCCCCTCTGATGCTAAAGCCTCCCAGGAATCAGGGCCCGTAGCCCACACCAGCCCCTGGTGTCTCCTCCTCCGGGGGAGGGTGGGAGAGGAGCCCTCCCTGAGACAGCACTCGGGGGGGGGGTGGGGCTGGGGGGCTGCTGGGCTGAGGGGTGACACAGCCTCCCCAGAAGGCACTGCCTGAAGGTCCGTCTGAACCTCTCCCCTCTGCGAGGACCAGCAGGTGCGTCCAACACGCCCGGTGCCGAGCCCACGCAGCCCACGCAGCGACGCCCTTATCCTCCACAGCCACCATCCGTTTCTCATGTGGGCCAGGAGCTCGGACAGGCTGGGCCACCTGCCAAGCCACACAGCTCGGCCGCACACGGGGCCGGGGCCAGGCCCAGCCGGGTCTGTGCGACCGGCAGGGCCCCCTCCGCGCAGGCTGGCTGCTCTGACTGGGCTGCTCCCGTCACCCATGACTGGGTCCTCCTTCCACCCCGACGGCCCCAGGCCCTCACACAAAGAGGACCCGCTGGGGGGGTGGGAAGGGCCAGGTGGGCGGTTGGCAGGCCGTGCTGGTGCCTATGAGGGCAGGGTGGCTGCTCTGAAGCCTGCTGCTCCCTCCGGGGCCTGGCACAGAGCACACGGGCACGGAGCCCAGGCCGGCCCACGAGGGCTCCCACTGTAGGAGGCGCTGGCCTTTGCAGCAGGCCCTAACTGCCTGCCCCACGTTCTTCCCACGGTAGAGGTGCCCTGGGCCTTGCAGCCCCCACCGCAGCATGTACCGCAGATCCCATAAATACCCGCCAGGGTCAGGGCCCCGCATAAATCCTCCACAGGCCCACGTCTAGTCAGGAGGCCCCGGGAGCACTGCGGTGGGACCTCCAGGGTCAGGTCTCCCAGAGGCCTGCTCCGGGGCTCGAACGTCTACTGCCCCTGAGGGTGTGCAGTGCCGGGGGCGTGGAGGGCCACAGGCCACGTCCCAGGTGTGGCTCCCAAGGGTAGTGAGGGCCACAAAGACCTCAGGGAGCCCCTGCCGGCTGTCTGCTCCTCCTGCCCCCAAGGGCCTCCTCACTTGCCTCCCACCACCCCTCGCTGCTGTCTGCTCAGTGACAGTCGCCCACTCTGGGTCAGCTCCCCTCCTCAGCATCCTCCCCGGGCACCCGAGCTGGGGTCGGGAATGACTGCTGGGTGAGTAAGGAATGGATGAGAGGGAGCAGCACGGTGCCCTCTCCTCCTCCCCTGCCCTTTCTAAACGAGCAGGACCACCCATCCTTGTCGTCAGTGAGGGCATCTTTCTGGTCCGCAGCCCTAGGAGGGGCCCAGCCCAGTGCCTGGCACAGAGCAGGCACCAGGGAGTGGTGACCCCGATGGGCCAAAGCATGGAAAGCCAAGGGCAGGGCAGATGGGTGTGAGAGCTGCTGCAGGGGCTCAAGTGGCGTCTTGCACAGACATCCAGCCCTTGGGGACAAGGACAGGCGCCCGGGGAGGCTGCAGACAGACGACCAAGCCACCAGAGCAGGGCGGGGGAGGAGCAGGGGTGGAAGGAGCAGACTCAGCGGGGCCCAGAGAGACTGTCAGGTGGTCAAACTTTCCACTCACCTCGTGGGAGTTGGTGCCGTGAGCCACTCTGGTTTTGCAAACTGTGGGTGGAGGGTGGGGGAGAGAGAAGCAGAGAGGAGTCAGCAAGGTCATCCACCCACAGAGCCCAGCCCGGCAGGTACGGGGAAACGCAGAACTCCTGCAGCCCCCGGGGCGGGGCGGGTGGGGCAGGGGCCACACGCTGACGCAACAGCAGCCAGCGCCGCACCCGGGGGGATCTGGACCCATTTCCACAGTGTGTGGGGGAGCGGGACCCCAGGCCATCCATGCCCTCCCCGGCAGCCAAGGCCTTTATCCACCCGCCCCTCCCCCAAATTGTAAAAAAAAGGAGGGCTGGGGGACCCCCCCCCCCCCCCCCCCCCAAAAAAAACGGGGGGGGAAAGAAGTTCTGTTGGTACCCCCCCTGAAATGGGAAGGGTCAGGGCGTTTCTTCTCCCAAGGAAGCTGCATGGTTGTCGTCCCCCGCACAGGGCTGGGTGAGCTCCATGAAGGGGCGGCGAGCAGATCCTGTCGTCTGCGGACAGAGGAAAAGGCCCGTCAGCACGCTCCCCGGACAGACGCACCTCCCTGGGGCGACCTCCCATGCCCCTGCTGCCCCCGATCTGACGCCCCCAAACTCCAGTCATGTGTGAGCACACACACACACACACACACACAGCACCTCCTAATAACATTCCTGTAATTACAAAGCCAACATATAACTGTACAACCTGAAGTCCGTCACTGTAAGACCAAAGAAGAGTAAAAACCACACACCTTCCCCACCTCCTCAGCCTTAACCTGGGCGCGTGGACGTTAACACTCAGAGCTTTACAACAGGACAGTCGCGTAACCTGATTTTCACTCCAGACACAGGAGTGTTTTTCGGGCTCATTAGAGACTTTCCCCACCACACGCGGCATCAGCTTAACAGTGATCGCAGGATCGAGGCTGCGCACTGAGCTCTCAGCGCATGTCTCCCACTGCAAGCTGTGCATCACCTCAAGTCTGCGAAGTAACCCGGGAGGACACCAGGGCCGGGAGGTTAAAGGGCGTGCCCGCGGCCGCACAGCCTCACCACCTAACCAAAGGTGGAAGCCAAAACAGCTCCGACCCATGCAGTGAGTCTCGCCTGTTCGTCTTGCTTCCTCACTCCCCTCAAGCACCTCACTCCCCTCTCCAGCCCCCGCCCAGCCCTGCCCCCGTCCCAGGCCTTCCTTCTCACCTGGACACCTGGGCTCGCCTTGGGGGAAGCCAGTCCTGAGCTGGGCAGGGGCTGAGAGGAAGCCATGACCCTCGGCCTGGACCCTCCCCAGACTGCGGACCGCACACTGATGTTTACTGCTGGGCCACTTTCTGGCTACTTGCAGCCAAAATCATCCTGACGTGTCCGTGAAATCACAATTAGAAACGACTACTGTTCCTATTTTGGTTTCAACAACCGTTCGCAACAAAAGAACGTGCTGGGACTCAACTAACCCTTAGGAGCTAGAGCAGCCGTGGGTAAACTATGGCCCGCGGGCCGGATCCGGCCCGTTTGAAACGAACAAAACTAAAAAAAAAAAGACCGTACCCTTTTATGTAATGATGTTTACTTTGAATTTATATTAGTTCACACAAACACTCCATCCATGCTTTTGTTCCGGCCCTCCAGTCCAGTTTAAGAACCCATTGTGGCCCTCGAGTCAAAAGTTTGCCCACCCCTGGGCTAGAGATACAGTGATGAACACAGGTGCCCGCCCGCGTGGAGCTCACAGACGATGAGCGAGACGGACTCACTGACGGGTAAAATGGACAGCGAGACGGCACTGGCAGGGAACACAAAAGCACGAAATGGGGCGCGGGGTGTGGGGCAGTGCGTCGCTGAGCAGACACAGAGGATGAGGGAATGGGCCTGCGTGGGGGGCAGGCACACTCCCAGCAGAGGGACAGCTGACGCAAAGGCCCTGCTGACGGACATGCTGCTGTCTGATGCAGAGACTGGACAAGCCGCGACGAGGACGGTCACGTCAGTCAGACTGGGGACCGAGGGCACCGGGCTGGGTGGGATGGCACTGGGCCGAGTGGGAGGGCACCGGGCTGAGTGGAGGGCACCGGGCTGGGTGGAGAGCACCAGGCTGAGTGGGAGGGCACCTGGCTGGGTGGGAGGGCACCGGGCTGGGTGGAGGGCACCGGGCTGAGTGGAGGGCACCGGGCTGAGTGGGAGGGCACCGGGCTGAGTGGAGGGCACCGGGCTGGGTGGAGGGCACCGGGCTGAGTGGGAGGGCTGGTGAAGGAACGAGCGAAGCCAGCACGTTGGGGGCAGGAGACTCGCCGGCCCGGCCCACGTGAGGAACTGTGGTGGCGGAGACTTTTCCAGCTCAACCCTGGGAAACTCGACGGACGCCAGCAGCTCCTGGCCCCAAATAGCGGCAGAAGAGCCAGCGCGCTGGGAGCCCGGAGCTATTTCTGGTTTCCCGAAAAAGGCCGCTGTGCTTATTTCTCTGCCGCCTTTATTTCTGGATGGAGCGGGAAAGAGGCTTTTTTTGGTGAGAAGGTGGGCTGTGTTCTGTCAAGAGCTGAAACTTCAGCCCCTGGGAAACTGAAACATGCCAGAGGAGGCGAAGCTGGAGGCCCTGGAGATGGGCAAGTTCCAACCGCGTGCACGAGCCCAGAGGGGAAGAGGACAGTTCAAGGTCACACACAAGCTGCTGGCAGGCCCAGCGAGGGAACCAGGTGTCCCGAGTCACACACCACTGCCCTGTACACGCTGCCAGTGGCTGCACTCACCCGGCTGCTGCGGGACTAGCAAGGAGCTACAGGCCAAGGACCAACTGGTGGATCCCGAGGACAGTGGGGTGGGGAGGGCAGATGGCGCTGGGAAGTGTCGCTCTGAAGCCCGACTCTGAACCTGGGCTCGCTCTACTCACTAGCTGTGAGCTTCCGAAATGACTGAACTCACGGGGCCTTGCTCTCCCGTCTGTAACCAGGAGCCAGGCCTCCCTGGTACCTAACAGGCACCCAGCAGGCAGGCACTGTTTCTGGTACCACGCTGGGCACGGCCAGCTGGGGTCACCCACAGGGGATCCTGGGTGGTGGCCACCGGTCTGTGTTCAGCGTCCTGGGGTGTGTCGCTGCCAACCTCCCCCTCACTGACCTTCTTCCGGTGCCCAGCACGGTGCCGGCAGGGCAGGCTCTGCCTGTGGCTGTGAAGGGAGCCTCGGCGGGGTACCCGACCCACATGCCAGACCTGGCCTGCCGAACACCCTCACGCACCCCCCCACCCTCCCCAGGCCTGCCTCGCCCAGGGTTTTCCATTGGAAAATGACACGGCAGTCACCTCCATCCCCTCCGCCTGGCCTCTCACTTCGCCAAAGAACGTTCAGGCACGAGCATCGCGTTTGTCTGCTCTGCCAGGACTGCGACTGAACTTTCCCTTTTTACTGCTCTTACTGGACGTGCCATCAGTACTTGCCCATGACTCTGCATGTCCTGTCACCCGACCGGCGACATTTCCTCTAGTTCACATTTGTGCCAATTTTCCCCCCCACAGACAGGACTCGGATGTGCATCTCAGGCACAAGGCCTTGTGCTGGGGATAAGTCATTTCCACAGACCCGGCTCCCGAGGTGGTTTTTGGAGTCTGTGGGAGTCAACATTTCTATGGTTCTTGCCACACAGTGTCATGTCGCTTCCCAAAAGGACCGAGTGCTTTGCCGGCGCACCAGCAATGAAGGACTGGACACACGTCCCAGCCTGGGTCCCACCTGCAGAAGTCGGGCGTAGCAGTGTGATGAGGCTGGCAGGCGACATGGTGAAGGGAGCCTCGTCTGGCACAGAAGGTCACTCTGCCAGCGGGCCCCCAGCAGAGTGAGCCGAGGCAGGAAGACACCGAGGGGCTGCCCCGGGGGGGGGGGG